TCGTACATTAACTAATTTATGCTTCCGCATATTTTTTTTCCTTTTTTTTCTATTCTTTACTTCTGTGTCTTCATTTATATGCATATGCTTATGTTAGATGGATGAAAAATACCCGCATTTCCTTAATTCTTGGTATCCTGTTTGTCGGAAGTTCTCGCCTTTTTTTGCTTCTTCCTCTTTCTATACGTATGGATAAGAAAGAGAAGAAGATGCTAGATATATTTATGTGCATGTTGCTGTTGATGCTTGAGGGCAAACAGAGCAAAACTAGTTTTTTTTTAGCATTCTTTTGTCGTTTTCTTTTTTGACATCTACTTATATGATGGCGCGCCCTTTCAAATATCCATCAAGTAAATCTTTCTTGTCACATAAAAGAATTGTCGAAATTAGAAACCTCTATCAACCAGTAACATCAAGATATATTCTTTATGTATATCATAGTTTCTCTCTTTTCTTTTCTTTTTGTATATTTTTATATCAATTTCTTATTTAATTCTATTGTTATTCTAAACTTAGATTCTGTCTAAACATAAGCACACCCGTAGTTTGTATCAATTGAGATCACAACACTCGTTTTTTTTCTTCCTCTTTGTCTCTAATTGTATCTATTCGGGTGGATGCACGTAACAATTGACAAGCGACTGTTCCTAGTTATATTTTTTTGTGTGTTTTTGATAGATGAGTCGTCTTGTGTATGTACCACCCGTTGCCTTCGAGTCCAGTGATGTCTCTTGAGAGATATCTAATCTGTAGACAAATGAATGAAAGACTATAACGATGACAAGAGGAACGAGTAACATTGCAATGAGACTAATTGAAGACGAACATATTAAGAAAAGAAAAAGAAAATAGATAGAGACATTTTGAAGAGGAGGAGAAGGCCTATACTTTGCAAATTGATTTGGCTACCATATTCACTAGACAATAAGCTCGATATATATATATATACATGTAGACATATATACATACAACCATTTAATATCAGTGTCTGTTCTATTCGGTATATATATATATATAGGAATCACTTTCTCATTGTTGGTAATATATGAAAAGAAATACTTGGATGCCAATCTCTCTCTCTCTTTACTGTATCAGAAACACATTCTGTTTTACCTTCTCTACTTACCAAACTGACTTTTCCCATGTAATTAGTGTACAGAGTGTTGATGGAGGTGCTGACACACCAGACCGACGATGCTCATTATCTGTACGACAATATTTTTTGAAAGATGGGTGGACTGAAAATATAACTTGATATTTATCTAATTGTGAACGTAACTCATTTATTTCATGCTTGTTATTATTAATAATCATTTCTAAATCAGCAATACGTTCATCACGTTCATCTAATTCTTTTTGATGTTGATACCATAATTTAGTTAGCATTCTATAGAGATATTGTATCATAGAAATCATATTGAGAAGAATGGTTACTTAATAGTTATTGTCGTCGAATAATTTGCTGACAAATCCATTCTTATACAAAGAGAACGGATAACAATAAAGGACAAATGGATTTTCAATATGTTGTCTCAATATAGTAACGACTTTGACCTTTGTTTGGCATGCTACCAAAATATCTCGATTTATTCTCTTGGAAATAATTTCACCGAACTAATTGATAGAAGAATTAGAAAAAAAAAATGAAAGCTTTCTTATTATTGTTGTTGTTGTTTCTTTAATTATTTTTCCACAATATTCACTGTGTTTATTTTAATATAATGAGTACATTCATATTATTAAAATAATATTATCGGATTTCTATCAATGTCATTTAATGGTTAAATAATATGCAAATATTCTGATTCTTAGACAAATAAGATTATACTTGGTTTATTTTTATGATGTAACTAAGTATAATTGTTTCCGACGAGGAAGAAGAAACTAATTTGAATTCATTTAGAATCAATTGTTACTGATTGTTAGCTATTGGCCAACCATTATTCGATGAAAACAAGAGACAATTGCTTTATTTCTTAGGGCAAATATCTCTAAATGATAATCTTGTAGCTTGCAAGAAGTTTATTGTTATGGCAAATGTCGTTTGTTTTCAGCTTATTACTAGAAGCATTAGAATTGATTATTAAAAAACAAGAATGCCAAATATGTTGTCCATTCATAAATTTTCAGATAATTGAAAAATGATTGAAAGACTTTTTTAAAATTATTAATAAGAATAGAAAAACCAAACATGTTCTTCTTCTGATATAAATTTTGAATAAATTACAAAACCATAAAAAAAAGAACCTCTATTTCTATACCGAGCTATATAAAAGGGTACAAACTGACAAGACAATCAATCATTATTATCCGGACGATGAATTTCAAGACACACGAAAGCAACTGATAACCCTGAAATGATTGATTAACTTCTGTGTTATTTGACACAAGAATAAGTGGTTCCTTAGTGGTTAAGGAAAAAAAAACATTTATTCAGATAATATTTTTACCTAGCTCACTTGAGAAGTTCAGACATACACATATTTGAATTATTGATATATTTTGTGGAATATATTGTTTATAAGGATAGATCATGATGTAAGCATGAGTATAGTAGTTACTTAATATAGTATAAAGAGATCATTTTTTAGTAATTAATTAACGAAAAAAGAATGAAATGTATACTATTCATTAATTCGAAAGTTGAATTTGAATTTACATCAAGAAAAAAGTCTAGATGACGTATACTTGGAGAAACCTTCTTAAATATTTAATTAAAATTATTGGTATTTTGTAGAAAACAATACAACATCTGTAATTTCTATAAAACAATTAATCAATATGATACCTCAACGGAAACTCTTAAAAATTATTATCTATAGATTCAAAAAAAGCCAATAATATTATTTGATATGAAAAGAAAATCAAGGCTACATAAGGACTATTCTTAGTGTACTTTCATTCATAGTTTAGCTAATGCAAAGTTTAATGAGGAATTATTTGATAAAAGAATAGAATGATTTCTGAAGATTTCAAACCTATTTTTGTTAAAATTATTGATATTCACAGTTGTACCATAAGTGAATAAATTGTATATGGAAAAGTAGTTCGTAGAAATTTTCCCACACTAAGAAAATTATGTCAATCAGCTATCAATTCAATGGCTTATCTCTGGTAAAAATCTCAGCTCCAACGGTTGAAGTATTATTGATTAATGACGTGAATATTACTTTAGATTAGCATAAAAATCATATACATAACATTAGTGAGCATAAAACTGCTACGAAAACTTTGTTAGTATTTTATCAATAATCTAATTTATTCAGCCTTTCGACAAATCCCACCTATCATCGTCAGGAATAACAATGCAGTATGAAAAAAATTTATTTTTACATATAAAACGTATAGTTTGGGAAAAAAACCAAGTTAAACGATAGATAATTATCATTCCAATTATAATTATCTATCGATTAACTTGTTTTTTTTTTCCCATACTAGTTATAAGTTGTATATGCAAAAAATAGATCATTTTTTGTACTGTATTTGTATCCTTGATGATGATAGGTGGAACCTGTTGAAAGCTTGACTAAATCTGGCTATTAATAAAAGACTAACAAGGCTTTCGCAATAGTCATATATTCATAAATTTCTTGTTTAGATTCTAGTGCTTTTCAACGTCAATATGAAAAACATATAATTATATTACCATTTCTGTTCACAATTTTCTTAATATATCGAGAAATGAAAAACGGCAACGTGAACCTTTAACAGTTTCGGAAAGTTTGTAGGAAAAGCAATGAAACCAGATACTTTTGAATTTTCTTAGAAATAGCTTCTGTTTAAAAAAAAAAGCAAATAACTAACTGATAAAATGATGTTTTTATTAAAATAGCTTTCTATCTGCGACTCCAGTTGAATTTTTCGTCGAAAAACTTTGAAACATATAAGTTGATCTAGTTTCTTAGGATGATTTCAAATATGTTATTCGTTGTAATTAAAACCTTGTTTTTGTTTCTAATCAAAATCTATTACATGTCGGTAAAAAAATGGTGTTCAAACGAGATTCAAAGCATTGTTTTTAACAAAAGTCACTTCTAAAACAAATAGAAAGATATCTGGTGTTGTCATCCTTGTTATGAGCTTTCCGAATCTGTTAAAACTCTGCGCAGTCCTTTCTCTTTCTCGAAATATTTGGGAAACTTTGAGCAGAAGTGGTAAAATAACTATATAATTTTCATGTTCAACTGGAACAATATTTACATCACTACTCAACAATAGTTTAACTGTTCGAACTGAAACTTTTACTAATGAAAAACTCTAAGATGAACAATGGATTGACATAGTTTTTAGTTTGAAATATCTGACGAGAGAAGATCCCTAAATTAGATTAGCCAATCGAACTGATACTTGACTCATAAGTAAGCTCAAACGTGACTAGTAGAAGTCTTTAATGATTCGTTCTGATACGCTTTCCTTTCCAAGTTATTAAAATTCTACTCAATTTTTATCTCTGAGCAGATATTTGTGAAAAAATTGGATTACGAATCTTCAGGCCAAATGGATGCGTTCTTCTTCTGTTATTGATTGTTGAAAAATTAATATCTCAAGAATAATTTGAGAAGTACAATGTATGATGACGAACCACTACAGATTTCTACTAGTCTCATCAGAACCTACTTATGAACAAAATATCAGTTCGATTGGTGAGTGATACTTAGAGTCTATTGTTTTCAAGAATTTCTAGATCCAACAGTCTATGGTCCAATATGAAGACACTTCCACGTTAGTGTAGAAAACCCTTGCATATATCAATCATATACTTATGGTACAAACGTTAATATCAATAGTTTTAGCAAAGATAAATTTTTATCCTTCAGAGTTGTCTCTATTTTATTACCAAACGATTCCTCAATAAATTCTACATTCAGTAAACTATGAATGGAGGGAAATTGAGGATCGTTTTTATGTGCGCATGTCTTTCATTTTACATCTTTTTTTATTAAATTATAATGAAATCAAAAAAAAGAATACATTTAGTTTGAATTAATCAGTTTTTGTTTTTATCGACAACCACATTCTTCAACTTGCATTCCTTGATGTCGTTTAATAACTAATTCTTGTCGATCATAATAAAGTAAATCAAGTGGTCGGAGACGAACAGGTACACACGATGGTTGTTGAATAGAATTTCCTCGTTCATGTAAAAGACTTAATAACATAGCATGATTTGTTGGATAAAATAATCTTGATAATGGATTAGGACAATCACCACGACATATACCAGCATTAAAACGCTTTGGTTCAATAACCCATGCACCAAATGATAATTGATTAAAATCAACAAATAGATCATAACGTGAACATGGACTTAGAAGTTGTTTTTGTCTAATGGATCGTTTTGTTCGAATTGTTGATGATGGAAGAAGAAAAATTCCAGGTGTACGAGAATAAATAATAAGAGATGCTTCTTGAACATAATTTCTTATCCATAATTGTCGACGAATAATTAATATTTGTTGTGTTGAATTATGATATAAATAATTTGTTAAATCATATGATATAAATTCATCTTGTTCTTTTGAAATTATTATTGGATGAAATCGTTGTTTATGATGTAACTTTTTACGAATAATTAATATTAATTTTTTTCGATAAATATTTATATTATTATAATAAGATTTTAATTTTAAACGAAATTCAATTAATTTCACTTCTTCATTTGTTTGTATTTTATTTAAACTAATATTAAAAAATAATAAAAATTTATTAATTGAAATATATTGCAATGGTAATAATCGAATTGTATTTATTGTTTTAAGTTTTAATTGTGCTTGTTCATTAAGTAATAAACTATCAGCTAACGAACCTTTTTCATTAATCTTATTATAAAGATCAATAATTGATTCAGTTTGAGAAGACAAAGCTTTTATTTGAATAAATTCTTTTAATAATAAAATGAATATTAGACTGCATATGAAATGCATGATTATTTTTCTTGTTTTTTTTTTTTTTGTTTCTCTCATTAAATTTATTATTTTCCTTGAATATTTATATGCCTTTAGAATAAGACCACCCCATATGAACAAAAATCAATCGATTGATAAGATGTATATACACAATGACCACCTCGACTAGATGTATAGAGATAAGATGTAAACAATCAATCATTTCTCTATTAAAAAATATATCGAGGTGGTCTATTTGAAAACTATACTAATGAATTATGATTGTTGTAGAAAAACGCTAAAAATGTTTTATTTAGATTAAAATGTCAAATAATCAAACAAAAAAGAAAGAATGTATAAGAACTTTGATTGTCAATGTTGTGTAGATATAAGTTGCGTGAATTATTGTAGATTTCATGACTAAAGAAAATTAAAAATTACTTAATTATGATTTAGAATACAGAATACAGAAGCGTCAATTCAACGAAGCTGACAATGATGTATCAGTAATATACAGGGGTCGCAGCAGGGGGGTATGAAGAAGAAGGAATTTTTCAAGAAAAAAGAAGGAAATTTGAACAAAAGAAGGAAAGGAAGGAAAAGAAGGAATTTTCCCGGAATACTTTGCTGCAAAGAATAAATTTTATACGACCGCCAATAAGAAACGATACGACTGCGCTCAGGCAAGTAAAATAGTACTCGAATTATTATTTGGTTACGTTGCAAGACCGTTATCTTGCTTTTATAGTGAATAGGAACAGAGAACGAATTTCAAAGACGAACAATTTTCTCCTTGGTCCTACGACATACGTGCATATTATTGTCATCCCCATATATCAATGACTCTCTCGGCAGCTTTACAGGTCGCGCACATCCCTCACTAGAGTCTGTCGGGTCCTATCCGAATCCGGACCAGGACTCTGTTGGGTCTGAAAATTTCATGTTAATCAGGTTCGGGTTCGGGACTTGAAAATTTTACTGATCGGGCCCGGCTTATGTCCGGACGTCAGATCATTTGAACAATGTATACAGTGTGCTACTCGATGAACACAAAAGATCAAAAAACGTATCTCGTTTCTTCCTAACGACTATCAGATTCGGATTAAAAAATTTCATTAAGAGTATTACGAGTACCGCTCAGGTCCATACTCAGAAAAGAATGATCAATCGGGTCCGGGTCCAACAATTTGATCATCTGCGTCTTGATCTGGATCCCAGCCCAAAAACGTTTAATTGGTCATGTCTGGGTTTCGGGAATTCTTGGACCCAATAGGCTCTAACCCTCGCTTGCATGTATTGCTATGCCGTGCAACGATCACGAAAATTCGTGTATGATCGAGCCTATCCATTGATAAAGCATCAGAGATATGCAGCAGCATCCTCGCTTTGTCCTTGTAAAATAGATAACTCAATGCATAGTGGCTACTTCTATCTGCCACTTTTACACATAGCGGGAGCGGGAGAAAGGACTAGTCTAAACACATCGTTCTCGCCTAGATACAGCGAGTTGAAGGTGATTTGAAGTTAAGTTGACTGGTTAACTTCACTTTTAGCGTTGAAAGCTGAATTCAACTAGGAATCATCGTTAAACTTGTAAAAAGATATTTTTCGTCATCCGATATTTTTGATATATCGCACTTGGATTGAAATGCCTCATGATATCTCCGATTCAGATACGCTTTTTTTTCGGGTTTCTCGTTCCGAATAGGTCTCCTATGTGATTTGTACATCCTCCATCGAATTGTATTAACTAGATAAATTTCCAGTTCTTTGATCGATGCACACTGTTCCAGATACTTTTCAAGGTTTTCGATCCATATAGAGTTCAATTGTGATTTATGATTTTTTTCGACCAGAAAAGTCAAAAGTCGCCTCTGAAACCCGAACTCGATCGAAAAATTTGAAAAGCATATTAAAAACTGAGCGCAAGCGAAGAAGTTCAAATTCATGTTTGGCATTGATTGATCAACTTAAATTGCGTAGAAAGCTAAACGTTGATTTTGGGTTGAACTGAAATTAACTTACACGTACCGTCCGACAAAATCCAACCCTTCCCTTCCACGTAGTGTCGGATGTAAACGTCAACTCTGACGGCTAAGATGAGCTCTGGTAAGGCTCTCAGGGCTAGTCACCCGAGATGCCTTCTACAATGACTTCGAAAATAACAATAGAAGAAGCCATTCCGGGCAACAGTCTCTCGCTTCGTCGCCAGTAAACGGAGATTTCGAAGAAATCTACGACTATGATAAGGCAGTTACCTGTCTTTGACATTGCAACGACGAAACCAACCAAAAAACAAAAACAAAAACAATCCACAAGGCCATCACAATATCAACCTACAACGTTCGGACACTCAAAAGA